CCCGACGAGTCTTGGGAGGCGCTAGGCGGAGATGGGACACTCCAGTCTCAGAAGGGTCCGAGTGGAGACTGGACCCCCGACGAGTCTTGGGAGGCTCTAGGCGGAGATGGGACACTCCAGTCTCCAGAGGCTCTGGGCGGAGATGAGATACGCGAGTGTCGGGAGGCTCCGGGCAGAGGTGGGACACTCCAGTCTCTGGAGGCTCACGGCAGAGAATGGACACCCGACGAGTCTTGAGAGGCTCTTGGTAGAGATGGGACACTCCAGTCTCAGGAGGCTCTGGCCGGAGACAGGACTCCGGAGTCTTGGGAGGCTCCTGGCGGAGATGGGACACTCTAGTGTCGGAAGGCTTCAGGGGAAGACTGGACACCCTAGTCTTGGGAGGCTCTGGGCGGAGACTGGACAACGGAGTCTCGAAAGGCCATGGGCAGAATTCCCCACAAGGGTATTTACCAGGCTCTGTGTGTTCGTTGGTTGTCTTCTCCCGGCCCTCACAACGAGCCCGTGCGTCTTCCAGCTTCCTCTCAGAATCCAGTTTCAGTAGCTGTCGTAGGAGACTGGACACCCGACGAGTGTTGGGATGTTCCGGGCCGAGATGGGACACTCCAGTCTCGGGAGGCTCTGGGCGGAGACTGGACACCGGAGTCTTGGGAGGCTCCGGGCGGGGATGGGACACTCCAGACTCAGGAGGCTCCGGGTGGAGACTGGACACCGGAGTCTTGGGAGGCTCCGGGAGGAGATGGGACACCGGAGTCTCGAGAGGCTTTGGGCAGAGTTCCCCACAGGGGTATTTACCAGGCTCTGTGGGTACCTCGGTTGTTTTCTCCCGGGCCTCACAACGAGCCCAAACATCCTCCAGCTTCCTCTCAGGATCCAGCAGTTTCAGCACCTGTAGTAGGAGATCTGGAGGCATATCTTCTCCCAGACTGGGGTACATGGCCAAGGGATGCTTGGCCGTCAGCTGGGCTTCCACTTCCTCTACGAACGTCTTCCGTGCTAGCTGGGCTGGAGAGAGCTTAGAAAATAGGGCCGCTTTCTTGAGCAACTTTTTCTGCCCGCTTTTGGGGTCAGTTTGGGGACCTCTGCGACAGATTTTGGGGAGTAAAAACTCGTCACGGCGACAAATGAGCGTATCTTCAGGAGACGGACAGCCGTAGCGGAAGTCGTCCATGCCCTCAGTCACAAATACCCAGTTCTGGGTGTCCATGGGCGGGGACCTCAGGCGCCTGTACTTGCGCTTCGCGAAGCACTTGGAAGGCTGTTTGTCACAGTACCAGGGCTTGAAGTCCATGCCCGGGGACTTTGGCCGGTCCTGCGGCCTCTGGTCCCCCATGGTGGCCCTCGCTGGGGTGCCACCTCTCCAGTTTCCGCGGCTCCTGATCCCTGCCGCTCTAGTCTCTAGGAGACCACCAGCCACTCGCAGCCCAGGTTCCTTCCTGGAGGCGGGGCAGCGCTGACGCCACCTGCGCAGCCTGGATTCTAACAGGTGTGTAGTGGAATCTCATTCTGGGTTTCATTTGTGTGTCCTAATGACTACTGGTATTGAGCATCTCTATATTTGCTTATTTGCCATCCTTATCTCTCCTCGGTTGAAGTTTCTGTGGATTTTTTCCCCCGTTTTTAAATTGTGTTGCTGGATGTCATATTTAGTTTTGAGAATCCTTGCTGTGTTCTAGATGTAAACAGGTTATCAGATATATGATTTGCAAATTTTTCACTTCATCCTTGGCTTTTCCCTTTCATTGTCTTAACAGTATCAAAGAGAAGTTTTTTTTTTTAATTTGATGAAGTCCAATGTATCAATTTGTTCTTTTCTGGATTGTGCTTCTTTTGATGTATCTATGAAAACTTGGCCTATCCAAAGGACAAGGTTTTAATTTTTGTAAACAGCACAATATATAAATCAAAGTTTTTGTTTAAAAATGTACCTATTGCTTACATGTATCTGATAATTTTAGAACTATTTTTGTAAAGACTAACTTTTCTCCACTGAATTACATTTGGAAATTGGTAGAATATCAGTTGTGTATATTTTTTGAAGGTCAATTTCTGTGCACTTTTTTCTCTTCCATTGATTTTTCTCTCACGCAAATTTCACACTCTGTTGGTTACTTTAGCTTTATAATAAATCTAGAAATTAGGCTGTCTTAGTCCTTTAACAGTGTTCTTTTACAAAGTTAGTTCTTCCTAGGTCCTTTGCATTTCTGTAGAAATTTTAAAGTCAGTTTGTCAATGTCAAAAAGAAAAAGTCCTTTGAGAATTTGATTAGGATTCTGTTGAATCTATAGATCAATTTGAGGATAATTGGCATGTTAACAATAGGAAATCTTCTGACCACTGAGAAACGTACATCTTTATATTTGTTTATGTGATTTTTCATTTTCTCAGGAATATTGTGTATTTTTTAGTGTATGTGCCTTTCACATCTTTTTCTCTCCGGATTTTTCCTAAATATTGTTTTTCATACTATTATGTGTAGTATTTTTTTAGCTGCAATTTCCAACGTTTTGTTGTTAGCATACATAAATATTGATGTTTGTATATCCATTGGTGTCATACAACCTTGGAAAACTCACTCATAATGTTTAGAAGAATTTTTGTATATTTAATTGAACTTTCTGTATATATGATAGTGTTATCTGTAAATACAGTTTCCCTTCTTCCTTTCCAATCTGAATATCGTTATACCCCCGCCAGTCCAGTTGCAATCCTTCATTTTCCTTTAAATAATATCAGTTAAATTTTTATTGCTCTTATAGTGCTTAAAACAACACTATGAAAAGCATTTTTATAAAATTTTTAATTATAGACAAATTCAACCTGCATTATTCCTTAAGCATATCATTTTCTTATCACATAATAATTTTTTTCTGTACATTCTTACTCATTTTTAAAAAGAAGTTTTCTTACTTCCCTTGTTAGGTGCAGCTGAACAATGTTTTCTACCATTACAAGCAGGTATACCATAGTTCCTCCTTGTAAATGAGGTATGATCAATGCCTGTCTTTCCTTTGGCTCCTCCGCTGTAAAACAGACACAGTGTATATTTCTCTTGGGTTTCTCATTAAATCAAAGAACTGGATTATGTGTAAATCAAGATAATCTATATAACATGACTTTTGTATAGTATCTGGAACAGAATAAACATCCTGTAAAATATTGTTAATTTATATAGTATTACTACAGTTTGAAAATAAAAATATTCTACATTTGATGTCTATATAAAGGAGAAGCAATATCATACATTTAAATATCACAAATATTTTCATTTGTTGATTATAAGAATCGATGTTAAAGTCTCAGGATATTTAGTAGATTTCATAATGTGAGGGTGGTAAGACCAAATTTGATATGGATTTATTTTTAACTTTCTTACTTAGAAAAATACCATGGACTGTATGTTACATTCAAGAGCCAAAGCTTCAACAATTCTCTATAACAATATCTAACTAGCAAGTTCACATGAGTACTCACTTATCTAAAATGCATGAGAGTTTGAAAAAAATATTCTGTATTCTAAATAATCCCCCCCCCC